CGCGACCCGTGGAGGATACACGAAGAAGGGATGGAAAAATCGCGGTGCGGATCTCGCGCCGTCGGCCCGGTCGATGCGGGACTCGAAAAAAAGGGGAGGGGATCCAGTCAAAACAAGGCTTACCAGGTCGTCGAGCAGTTATTATGACGAAGGCCTTCACCTGCTCACGCGGACGACGGCACCACTACTGATAACACAGTCAAGCGGCCGACGCCTCCGGAGCGCCGAACGCCCAGCGCCGACGCCGTCGCCTCCAACGTCGACGTCGACGTCGACAACGCCGACGCCGACGCCGATATCGTCGAGTTGGGGTAGGGGTAGTTATGATACGTCGATGTTATCTACATAACGATACAGATTTGCATTATAATACCTAATACCTTCTATACATATATATTCACAACGAAAAATATATGCACACACACATATATATATAATATTACATATAATTATATTATATACATATATATGTATATATACATATATATCTTTATATTGTATATATATTATATATTATATTGTATGTATATAAAGGACTAAATTAAACAATAATTATTTCAGGATAGATCAGGGAAATTTTGATAATCCGAAAAGGATGGCGGACTAAAGAGTTCGAGGCATTCTTGTAGTACACAGTTAATAATTTATAAAAAATCGAACGGTATACACGGGTAGGGGATGTTAAAGGATATAACAACGAATGTACAATTTACTTCCCGTATAATTATATATATATATGCATATATATAATTAAATAATAAACTAAATCGTCACACGCTACTTTTGCCTTCGGCAGATCGTAAAATGGTGAGAAAAGAACTACGCCGGAGAAATTCGTTTGGCAGCATGACAAAGTAGAGTAGTACGATTATTTTACAATATTCATTTGTTTATTTCTTAACACTTGCTATTATTTACCATTATTTATTTTATTTTGCTATAGAGTCCTTTATAGGCGAGTTTATACGCCTCGAACGATTGATTCGTATTTTACATTAGCGCGAAATCATTCTGTCCTTTCCTATATTTTTTTTTACAATTACTTAATTCAATTGCAATTCATATTTTAATTGCAATGTTCGTCGACTGTTCGAAATTATTTATTACGCTTTTACTTACCGCAAAGTTTAATTTTACAATGCGAATTAACAATATGTCATCGTCTAAGGAATGACATAGTGACTGATAATACAATTTTTTCACGAGTTTTGTTACTATTCCTTCGTTTGTTTTATTGCCTGCAGGTGATTAAATTACAGGAGCGCATTGCTTATCACCGCGAAACATCTTTATTTGGCGACACTCAGCCTGCAAGCATCTTCATTTATTATTATTACTTATACTGCAAATGCAAAATTGCACTTATTTAATTTCATTTCTATTGCATATAATTATTCGTAACTAATATTTTTCAGGATTTTCTGAAGATGGTATTTTTTTTAAGGTAAGAACACTTGCGTATTGCGATATTTTGATATAGAAATTGAAAGAATGCAGAAACACAGTTCAAAAAAATGTTCTATACAAACTTCATCAAAAAATAGTCGATTTCTTCTACTTCAAACAAACTGTTTTCCTCTAATTTAAGATTCTTTTTTTTCCACTGCTCTTGCTCTCTCTTTCTCTCTCTCCCCCCTCCCTCCCTCCCCCCTCTCTCTCTATTTGCATTTACCACGTAATCGCGAGTAGATAAGAAAGCGAATAAAATACAACGAGCATTGACATTCCTATTAGTAATTTAGAATAAAAGAAAAGATCCCACGATTTTAAAATAGACGAAATCGACTGTGATCGTCATGCTGATGCTATTCAATGAATTACTGCTATTGTGAAAAAGGTTTTCCTACTGAACAAATAAATCTCATAGATTAAAACTGTTTTAGATATAACACAAAATAGTAAAAAATTACATATTATTTACTGGACGAGTTGAAGAAATTGCTTAACCCAAGTGGATACGCGCAACAAGAACGCAAGTCTATATGATGAAGCTACCGATAGTAAATAACCAATAATATAATAATAATAATAATAACAATAATTATACAATCTATCATATTTAAATGCGTCAGTGTCTTTCATTAAGGCTGTCACTGCTGCATAAGTAGATGGCATAAGTAGATCTTGAATCACGCGACATGTCCCAAAATATCCCGAATGACCCACGATCGATTAATGAATTATAACGGATCGTGCAATTTTTGAATTGCGCGATTGTTCTATGATGATTCCATCACCCGATGATTAACACTTCCGGCAGGAGTTGGTCTCATGCACAAATTCCTTAACTTGGTCACTCCTTCACCTGCGTCTTGAGATGTTGTAAGAACTCGTAGTAACTAAGAGCAGATTCAAATCGATCCTCTATCAATCGTTCGATGAATAACGTCCTAAAGTGGCTATCGTCCCTAAAAAACAATTTGTCACTTTAAAATATGTATAATATATTGTATTGAAAATATCAGATAAGTGCATTACAAAAGTTAAAGGAAATTTATATTAATACTTTTTGTCAACACACATCTCTAATCACTTACACATTAATTTTTATTAATCCGAAACAATTGATTTACCTGATAATTTGTACAGGCACGTAATATGGTTTTTCCTCTTGTAAACTAAATACAAAGTTTCGCAACCGTTCGCTTTCTACTGTATCCAATTCCGGTAATTCGTACTGCAAGACAAAATTAAGACGGATTATGAAATTAAATTTTTATCACAATGGCTGTTGTTAAAAATTGTTATCCGATAAGAGTTTTCGATTTTTAACTACGGATATATAACCGAGAAAAAGTAGTAAAACATTTACCATTTCCTCTGGAATAGATGTAAACCCCGAAGTGCCGAACATATTTGTACAGAAAATCAGATTGATATTCTTGCCAACGTAAATAAAGATTCTATCGCCAGCATCCATAAGAAAGATGCCCCGGCTGTCGAGTTTCTCAGCAGATAAATTAAGCCGAGGTGGTTGTGGACACACTTTGCCGTCAATGTCCCTTGCATTGCGATCGTCGAGCATGTGAACGGGATACAAATCGGGATAAACCACCTGTATCAGCTGTGCTAACGGTAATGTCTTTAGTTGAAACATAGCGAATATGCGATCATCCAAACGCGTGCTCGTGCCGGATCTAAATGCTATCTGCAAGTTTGAAATAAAAATATTTTAATGATAATATTTACAATGTATTTAAGTAAAAAATGTGTGTAAATTTATTGATAATTTACGCTTTTCAACAACGCGATAATGTATAATGGCAGCAGCTTTAAACTTCCTGGAGCAATTAGTCCTCCGCCGCTGGAAGATTGTGTCAGTTTGTACGCGGATAAGATGTCAATAGCGACGTTTATTAATGCTTCTCTTGCATCTGACAAAGATGACTGAAGCGATCGATCGACAGCTATAGAGATATTTAAAGAAATGTCTCTTAATATTACTTAATTATGGGAGAGTTAACGAATAATTATTAAACCTTTATATTACGCTGCGTAAGAATTTATAGTTCACAGCAACAAGTTTAACTTACCCATTTTTGATAATAAACCGACTATGCATTGTTGATCTGCAGAATGCAATACATCCGATAGACTTGCCACCACTGGCAGGCATAGAGTGTGTACTCTAATTCTTCGCTCACCTTTAAATAGAAATATAAGAAATATGAAACATACATGAAGACACTAAACAGTATAAAAAAAATAATTACCTTTACTTGAAGTATACAGAAGAGACGCTTGGAAGCATACACTCTGCACATCGGAAAGATTTTCATCGATGGAGATTTGCATGCCGAAACCGGCGTCCGGATTAATATTTGGCAAGCAGAGGAGATCAGTCGATCGAACGAAGAAACTGCCATGGAAGGCATGAATACTGAGACCACGAGTACAACGAAGCCGCATCACTGCTTCAAAGCCAATCTTTCTCGTTAAATAACGACGAAGTAATCTTTCTAAAGTTTCACTATTCTGTAACTTCGATGCCCGGAACAGTGGCAGATGGTAAATGCAACCGCCCGTAAATTTTGACATGCATGCTGCGGAATACAACAAACGTCGAATGTTACAAGAGATATTTATCAATGTTAAAAAAAATATATAATTAGGTATATTACGAAAAAAATTACAATTATCAAATTAATTACTTGCAAATTCACAATACAAAATTATTATAATCGTATTCAATCGATATAGATTCACTTACACAGTGTTGCCAGATCGCTGTATTGACTGTTCAATAAGAACAGATCAATTGCGATGTGGTGCCCACTGCAATCCAGAGCGTATCTTTTGTAGAAATCTGTTGCGGGATTAAGATGTGGCACGTCTTTGTTCACTCTAGTACTGGGATCCTCTCTCGGTTGCAAGGCTCCTGGACCAATATTAGGCAGACATGTTTGGAAAACGGTGATACGTCCTCCGACACCAGCGAGGAGTTTGTAGGCAGCTTGAAGACCAGCACCAAGAGCACTATTAGTATCATGAGTGCCACAGAATTTGATAGGAAGCTGGGCGAGAAGATCACGAACAAGTTCCTCACGTTCTTTCAGATTTACAATTAGGTTTTCTGGGCACGGTAGAAACACATCATCGATATCTAGCATGACCATTTCATGTGGTTGCGAGACGTTATCGGGCATGCTGAAGAAGTGCAGAGTAGAATCAACAGCAAGAAAACCGATTTGAGTGCGGCTGTCGCCGGGGAGACGCGACAGTTCATCGGTGATCGTATTGCAAACTATCTGCAAATACCCGCTTTCTACCGCAAGACGAGAAACGTCCATGACAAAGAGATAGATAGCGGGCTGAGGTGGACGGACCTATAATTTACAGTATATGTTCATTAATACTAAATCCCTCGAGGTATCATAAACAGGTATATCATTTTTATATAAATAAATAATTTGTTATTACGAATAAATGGATATCTTATAGTAAACAAATATTAACCATGTACTCGCTTGGCGCAATAAACTCTATCGTGCCGGTTTTCACTTCCGGCCGTCGTGATGGATCGCCGTACGATTTCGTCACAGGATCGAATTGAAATTCTTCGGGAACTACACAAAACGTAAACATATATCTAATTCTTGTTATGTAATATTAAGTAATAGATATGAAAAATCTCAGTATGTTTATTACGTTCATTTAATCTGAAACAGAGATTGCATTTCCATCTTTTCGAATCGACGAAGTACACAAACGGGTTGATATACGTTCGACAAGCTCGACAACGCACGATCGTATTGCATTGAATCACTGCTAAATGCTGCTGCGACAAATAATAAAAATTTTACTAAAGTTTATTTCTACATGATTTTCTAAAAAGTGAAATAGCAATAACATGGTCTTCTGTCTATATGTTGTATATTTTAAATTATAAACATTTTTTTACATATATATTACTTACGTTTAGATCCTTAAAAGGATGTATTAGTACGCCGAATGGTAATCTTGATTTCTGTAGAAGCGAATTCGATTCTGGGACTTTTGTTAATGTACACCTGAATATGCTGTAATTATTTCATACTCTTAATAAGAATTATATTTATATATTGAAATAGTTTTAATAACAAGGGTTCTAAATTTTTCAAATCTTTGATTCGCGTTTGTATTTTGGATATTTTAATTTCCTTATAATAGAAATGTAATTTAACATCTTAAATAAAAAAGATGTAAGAAAAAGAAAACTTACTCAGGACTACAATTTATGGAATCCAGGAATTCCTGATTTAACTTGATCATTGGTGGTTCGACTTTTTCAGGTGGCAGTATATTTCGGCATTGCAAGAGGTCTATCGATTCCATCCCCTAAAAATGGTATTAACATATTAAAGAATGTGTGTGTATTACATATATAATTGTATATACTTCAATAAAAATACATATTTCAATAAAAATAATTACCCATATTTTGTTGTAGCCAACTTGTGTGACGTTCAAATTGCTCATCTGATTATTTAATTGATTTAATTGGTCTGGGTACATATTAGGATACCTTCTATTAGACGAGTCTAATGGGACGTTTGTCATTGGGCTAGGATATTGTGACCGAGAGTCGTACTACAAATAACAAAAATTAAATTATGTATATTAATGTTGCAAGAAATATACATCACTTTTTGAAGAAAATATAAAAGATTAATTAAATTTGATTCTATTACACATAAACGTTTTATTTTTAAATTTTATTACCGTCTGCAGTCCACGGTAACATCATGGTATTGGCAGTGTCTTGTTGCGGATATTTCCTCTGACCAGCTAAATTTTGATGTATATTCTGACCTTGAGAATTACTTCCCAATCCCGTGAGATCCATATAACCAATAAGTAAATTTTGAGGTTTTACAGGCTGAGAGCTATAATCATGAAGATTTCGTGGACCTACATTATGGCCTTGTGCACTATAGAATAAATTTTGCGTGCTTGAATTTGGCATTGACGATGCATTGGATATATTTTGTTGACTTCCATATCTGAGTTGTGGATTACTTAAGCTTTCAGAAGAACTAATCGTCGATTGTGCTTGGACATTTTGGGTTCTTGGTGGTTGTATACCGGAACTTACTGGTTCTTGCTGTACATAACTGTTTTGATTTAAATGAGTGACGTTTGAAGGAGGTAGATTAACGTTGGATGCGAATGGAGGGATAGAATGTCCTTGATTGTATGTCGAAATCTTATTTACTCTAGCAAAGGATGTTTGACTTTCTGCAATTGGATCTGTTGAGACATGACTAGTCTTATCAATGCTACTGGATATACCAGGAACGCCTATAGTACCCTGCGGAATGTTAGTAGGTGGAGGGCTAGTCGTCCATTGATAACTTTGGTTCATTTTAGCTGGTTCTGATTTAATAGTATCCGCAAACGTCGATGGTACAGACAATGGAGTCAAATTTTTTGCTATTGGAGGCATCTGATTTGGAGGAATCATGGGTCGATGTTGAATTTCTTGGCTAGGTTGAGACACAAAGGCAATTGAAGATGTACTGACTGCAATGTTCTCTTGAGTGCTAGCAACATACTGGTTGTGGGCACTATAGAGATTTGCAGGACTATAAGGTTGTGATGTTCTAGGTGGCGGAGGCAACACATTAGAGTTCTGAGGTCCATTTATTGGTGGCATTGGCGGTCGTGGCAACTGAGGCCGATATTGATTGTGAAGATATTGAGTTGGTGATGGATCTCTGGAAGTCTCCCTGGATGGATCACGTGACGACTGTGATGATGGTGTACCTGTAAAAACATTTTAATTGTTTCAATCAAACTTTTTAGACAAAACTAATTAAGACGTTAAGACGAATCACTTTATGTTAAAGTATAAAGTTTACACAATGCTTTTCTTATTAAATATTATCTATTTTATTTTTGGAAACAAAATTAAAAGATTAAAAGATAAGAGGATTGATGACATATTGCTACATTGTCCATTTTCAAGAACAATGCTACTGCCTTCAGGAACTATTGCCAATAAAAAAGCATTATGTAAAAGAAAAATTATAATAACATATATTCTTAGAAAATAAAATTTCTTCGTTGTATATTCCAGTAGCAAAAACTTGCCAGTTAGGTTGAACTGAGGAGATTGCATTCCATTTTGCTGAGATGCAGGATTTTGACCATTTACTATAGGAGGTGGCTCATTTTTCAAAGGATTATTGGAATCTGTGTACAACGGATATCGGTAACCACTTGACTGTGACATTTTGTTGCTTTAACAATCACTGAAACAAAACATAATTGAGGAACTCTTTTTTTATTCAGTTAAATAACATGCTTTTAAAGACATGAATTTCTATATATATTATGCCATGAAAAACTATAGATTAATCAATGTTAATCCATCAATGTTAGTATCCAAGATGTTAGATATACAACAGTAACACAATGCAAGTCAACTGCTTAGCTTCCAATTTAATTTGTAATCCAAACGTCGCAAAAAGAATTTAGTTAACTGCATTTATCTCCAGCAACAACAAGAATCATATAGTACTACCAAATTACAGGTCTAAGTAATAATTCCCAAGCTCAGCTCCAAGCTCAGCTAAAGATACACAAAAGCTGCAAGATGTTGTAAAAGATTGTTAAAGATTAGACAAATCGGTACGAGAGGATCAAATTTCGTTGCAGGAGGATTTCCATCTTAATAATCTACAAGAAGAGATATATAGATCAGTAGGTTGACGTTTCGATAGTCGAAGCGCATTGTCAGCGTGTTGAAAGGTTAAAATGCAGAGGACACACGAACTTGAAACGTCCAAAGGACCCACCTACCTTCGTACTATTGTGAGTAGCCAAAAATTAGAAACGGATAGACGCAGGCTCGCGCATCGCCCTCGTTGCCGTTCACCTCCACGCAGCACCACAAGATGAATCTTAATAGCAGCGATTCATGAACGAACGAACGGCACGCACAACATTACGTGGCAGCTCGAGCGACCGCTGCGCCATGAACTGTGGCACGTGACCAAATTGACCAGATGGCATTGCGAGGCCCAGTCAGGGTTGACGATGTTGACGTTGCTCCTGTACGGAACGACTACAAATTCTAATTAGCTAATCAGCGATTAACTAGTTAAAAACCTATCTATATACCTATTTTACTAATAGACAATTATCATTAGTTAATAAAAAATTATCTTATTAATTTCACAATTATAAAATTAGACATATTTTTGCTTCGAGCAATTTTACCGTTCAAATTAAATCACTGATTACCTAACTAGTGATTTTAATTACACTTTGATTTATTCGGTGATTAAAAAATTCAACCAATAGAATTATTTGAAACAACAATTCTAATCGATTATTATCTCTGTATTTATCTCTGATCTAATCTTTTTTTTAATGTTAAAAACAATTCTCTTTGTTAAAATATATATTCTGTGATAAGTTAATCACTGAATGAGAAAATCGGAGCTTGATCGATTCTCATTACTTCTTGTGTGAACAATTATTGAGCAATTGCATCAACAGTATTTTTAAATCATGAGCAGTATGAGCAATCCATGAAAAAATATAACATACATTCTGAAGTGAATACTAAAGCCACTAATTGTTCAATTTTCAAATCGCTTTCATAAAGATCTTACAACAGGAAAATCAATTGCAACAGCATTAATAGAATATGTACATCAATAGAATATATATTTCTTGATAAGTAAAATATGTTTTGCAATCTGTGGAACAAGTTGGGGACGATTTGGTCATTGAAGAAGATTGCATGCATTTGGTTCTTTGGAATGATGGAAGATACAACAATGTGGGGAATGGCAGCGTATAAGAACGCGTTTCAGAATTGGTCATTGTCATTATCATCATCATCATCATCATTATTATTATCATCATCATCACCATCATCGTTATCTTCAGTTAGTTTCCAAGGCGGTACTTAGTGCCGCTCACGAATTAGTAACTCGAGTCTGTAACTCCGTGACGGTGTTTTCATTTATGTGGCATTGCAGTTTGCACGCATTGGCCAATCCGTAGCTCGTAAGATGCTCCTTTAGTTGGTCTAAAACAGACGGCATGTAAGATTGTAGGTCGATCAAATAATTCTTTCTTTTCTGAATAGATCTTTGGGATACCTAATTCCAGGGCGCGATTCAATAACGATAACGCGTTTAGCATGATGTGTACGTCAAGCTCACGGGAGCGTGCAAACAATTCGCACATATTGCGCCCAAAGTCTGCTTTGATCAGTAGCTCTTCAGATTCCGTCGGACAAATTACAGTCAGTAAATTAAGACCCATAATTGCTTCGTTTTGCATTAGCGTGTGTTGCGCTAAAAGCATATCTACTAGATGCTGCACCGCACCGTACTTGATAATTAATAAAGCAACCTGCTTGTCCCTAAAAAATATGTATAGTATTGGAACTAGGTTTAGGAACTTAGTACCATTAAGCCATAGAAAACGAACTTGCTATTATTTATTAACCAGGCGATTAATCGGTTGGCTTCACCCTGGACACCAGGGTGATCCTCAGTACTGCACCACTCAATTACCCGCTTAATCAAGTCCTCCCTCGTTCCTAAAGAAATTGCTGCTTCTTCTAAAACAAGAAACTCAGTCTTAATTATCATATTATTCATTCTAAATAATATGATAAATATTGCTTTAATTTTTAAAAGAAGCTTACGACCTCTTACTTTGACCGTTTATGACTATCCTAAGCGTTCCCAGCAATTTGAAAACGACGGGATAGGTAGGGATCTCCAGCATTGGATACAGCACATCAATCAGACCATCGGCAAGAATCAACGATTTATTGTCCATAGGTATAACGAGGTTGCGTAATACGCTGAGTAAGGCGTGCTGACATCTAATATCGCCAGATTTGCTGCCATTCCTTTCAAGAATTTTTAACAACTTCCGATGAATTCCCTGCTCCACCATGCGCTTGCAATGTATGTCGGTCCGTGCAACGTTGCCCATGGCCAAAACGGCGGTGATCTGCAAGTCCTCGTCAACACTCTCTAACCATTCTACCAGTTTCCTGTATACAGGACCCTTGCCATTGTCGTAAAGGAAATTCATGCTGTCATCTAAGTACAAAGTATATTTGTTAGAGCCACTAAAACTTGCATTTGAATTTTCTCCTAGAACTCACCTCCAGTTAAAATCAAAACAATTAAGTTACAGGCGACTTTAAGAATCGACCGCGTTTCTTCGTCAGTGCATTGTGGACCATGTTTCTCTAACAGTTTCAGGAGCAATTCACACACTCCTGCCTTAGCCAATAACAGCTTCGCATTTTCTATAATGGAATTATGTTATTAAGCTTCAACTTAATTCAATTTTATACTTAAATCCAATTTTGTGAATTTATTTAAGTCTAATTATACTGAAATATTTAATCAGCATAATTCCAATTAATTTAATAAACAATTTAAATCAATTTAGTTTCAATTATTATCAAATTACTGTTTTACCATCTTCTGCTTGGCCATGTAAGATTTCTAAGCACATCTCAGATAGCTCAGAGGAAGTGTCACTGGTCAGTATATCAACCAAAACTCTTGTTAATTTCTCATCGAGAAATATAATATTCACATCATTCAATATGCCAAGAGTGAGTAACACTTGCACCGCTGATTCATCACCATTTATTCCATCTTCTTCTAAAATACTGCAAATAATTGGTACCATATCCTCCTCTAGTGCCTGGTAAAGTATATCTTATAATAAAATTATCGCTTGCTGTTGCTTTCTATTTTGCAATATCACCATTGATTGTTAATCACAATGTACAAATGTATTTTCAAAAAATTTACCTTTCTGTATAACGTTTCCTGATCCACCAAAAAATTCAATAAAACTCCAGCGGCCACATTCCTCAGAAAACTGGCACCTTCAACGTTACCAAGGGCAATTCCTTTCTTCAGTAGTGCTAGGATTACTTTCAAACCATCCTGCTCTGTTACCAGGTTTTTACCAGTCTCTGTAACACAAATGTTTATTGTTAGCTTTTTTTTAATATGAAACCTACGTACATTTATAAATACTCAATATATAAATATCCCTTTAAATATCATTTCTAAATACTCAATATAAAAATATTCCTTTAAATATCAAAAAAAAGCCTTGAAATTTTATGAACCATCATTTAGAAACTATATATAATTATATAATAAAAATTCTGTCATGTAAATATAACTACAACAACCATTCTCATAGCAGATGTTTCCTAGAGCTCTGGAAGTCTGTGTCAATATATCTATATTTTCTTCCTTTAGCAAACTAATCAAGGTCTGTATCAATTCAAAACTGGTACATTTCTCTCTTCCCCGATCAGTCTTTGCTATCTCCGCAATAGCTTTTGCAGTCTTTGCTACGATTTGTTTAGATTTGTGCCTAAGTAGCGTCAGGAAGACTTCGTCAATGACTAACTCGGTAGTCTCTGAAACCATGCGTTAACAATTTCGCAACATATGATACCATGATATCTAGTTATAGCGTTTAGTCTAGTTGAATTATCCAGTTATACCTCCAATCGACGTTTTGCTAACATTTACTACTGAATCCAGTATCTGAACAACATTGGGACATTCCTCTTGCGAGGCTTCGAGTCTCACGACACATTTCAAATCGTCGACGAGTTTGTCGATATTGTGCTTCGCCTCGCCTGTAACATACATTGAGAGATTTATGTATTGCCTTTTCGAAAATAGCCTGGCGAGAAGAGGGATGGAATGGAACGTGACAGTGATTTACCTTCCATTATCAAATAAGCATCCGTTGGTATCCACGTCGATTCCACAGAACTCGCACTCAATTCACCCAAAAATAATCGGTCTTTCAACAAAATATTGAAAAAAAAAGATCCGGAAATCTTTATTTTAATGTATAAATGTATAATCGACTTCCTCTATTTTAATGTCAATGGGCGAGTTCAAGTCGGCAAAGCGGCTAGGTCTGTTCACCGAGCAATTAAACATGATTGGTTGTCTCCAGTTGGATCCATCTGGTAAGAACCAATCATGCTCATTCGCTCGGCAAGCATGGTAGCCGCTTTGCCGGTTTGAACTCGCCCATTGTAAGGCTGGAATCAGACTACCCATTGAAAATTGAGATTAGTGATTGAAGATCGAAATTTGATCAATGAGGATAAAGGAATTTTAGCTCCTATTGTTTTGATTGGTCAAATTTCAATCTTTCAATCCTTAATCTCAATTTCAGTGCGTAATCTGATTCCAGTCTAAAGCGGGGAGCACAGACTCTTGCATAACGCATAATACATAAGGCATAAGAAATTCAACCAATCATAGTTCTTTATTTCATGGAAAGGAAGGAAAAGAAGGATTTTGATTGGTTTATTTTCTTATGCATTATGTGTTATGCGTTCTGCAAGAGTCTGTGCTCTCTGCTTTATGCTCGTATCACACTACGCATTGGAGACTGAGGATTATGAATTGAGGATTAGAATTCAGCCAATTAGAACGAAACGGATTAAACTTAAAATTATCTGATTGGTCGAATTCTAATCCTTAATTCTCAATCCTCAATCTCCAATGCGTAGTGTGACACGGGCATAAGAGACTGCGCCCAATCAGAGAATAGCATGGGCCTTTAAATCCTTCTTATAAAGTAATATCTGCCGTCGGCATGATTGCCGACTACTTTATCGACTGTAAGCAATTAGAGACACAGACGTAAGAAATCTTTTTCATGTGCCGCCAAATGCTCCAATCGAGATTACAGGTTTGTTCGTGTCGCGAGCTCCAACATGCTCCAACATGCTCTTACTCATTCTATCAAGCGCGTTGGAGTGAGTAAGAGCTATGCTAGGAGCATATTGGAACATGTTGGAGCATACGACGCGACAAACGGTTTGTCACAAACCTCATGAGTGGGTTTTAAAAATGGCAGACACCAACGGCTGATTCGTAATTCCTTCTGTAACGTGATGGCGGAATCGAATGACACTGTAGAAACGTCCGTAACGAAGTCTGAGAAATTAAAGGAGAAAATTTATGGTATATTTTATTTAAGAAAGGAATATTTGCTTGCGTATAAGTTGCTTGCTGTAAACTAACCTCACTTTTACGAGTGCGACAATGCCCTAGCTCTTATCATTTGTCATTCGATAACAAGTTAAAAAAAGAAAATTATAACAATGCGTTTTTGCTGCTTGACATATGCTAAATATATAAGAAGTTACAGCATTTTTAAGTTGTTTATAGAAATCGATTTAGTCAACTTAACTTTGTTTTGCTAAATTGCATTAATCTTTGCACAGTATATTACATTTGATATAAACAAGAAATTTTAAGAAGTCAATTCAGATGAAAAACAAACTATTATTGTGAATGATGCTTTTCATGACTGTGCAAAATTAATATTTTAATCTTTTTATCTGATAAATGTCACATTGCAGTTCTATCATACAGCGATAATTTTATTTTTAATTGATAATCAGATTAATTTTTAAATATTTTCTGTTAATATTTATGCAACTTCTTTCAATAAATATATCTTATTGCTATTTCTGTAGCTACAGTATTTTTAAGCACTGTTGCAAGTATTTCTGCCCTCGCTGGATTTGCCAGGGCAGTGGCGGCAACCAGGAAGCAGGATCCAAAACATTTCGGAGATGGAATTTCTGGTATGAAAGGAATTCCTGAAACTGGAGCCTCATTAGCTATAAGAGCCCTTGGCTGGGGTACATTATATGCTGTCACAGGATGTGGCTTATTTTTTTATGGAATCTGGAAACTCTCTGGGGCTACTAACGCAGAGGAATTCAGACTCAAGATGGGCTCTCTATTACCAAAAATACCTAAGAATCATCCACCTCAAAGCAGAACAGAGTTTGAGGGTTTGACAGATCTATTGACATATATTTCTGAAGATTGGGGACGAAGTAAGGAGGTATAGTTACAGAATCCAATTAAAATATTAGATATTTCAATTTTTTAAAATGTCTAAGATACTTGAATAAAGAATATTGAGGATTAATATACGTTTATATGGTGATAAAGAAAGTCTATAAATTCTCAATCTTTTTTTGAGCACTTTCTTACAATTAGAATATTAAGATTAAACTATTTAACAGGTAACTACTTAACAAAAAATTTAAATAAATCTAAATTTTTAACACAAAATGAGATAAATGTTTTTATTTTGTTCACGCACACTCAAAAGTTATAATAATTTTTTGAAAGTAGAGATTTTTATCTTCAATATTTCATTTTTAATAAAGTTATAGCTGTTTGGAAATATACAGCAGTTTTTTCTCAAAGTTTTTTTTACACAATTATAGTATAAATTTGAACCGACGAGAATAAACTTATTATAAGAAAGGTAACTATGTAAAAATTCCCGAGATAATTTAGAAATATAAACAAATGATGAACGGGCAATTGGGAATTGGCATAGTGAATGGTGCGTAATTCAGCTTTAAAAAGGCTTTATCTTACATAAAAGAAATAGATTTCATACGTACGCTGAGAAAAAAAATATCTTAATTTCAACAATTTGTATGTACATGTTTCGACTAATAATTTTAGTCTTCTTCAGCAAGTAAACTCTTACAATGAACTATGCAGATTTATTACACTGTGCCAATTCCCAATTGCCCGTTTATTATTTGTTTTATTATACAAACTTTTTTTATTCTTGCTATTTTGATGCTCATAAGTATTATAAGAATGTTAATCTATAAATAATTTATTGTGAAAAATAAATTCTCTCCGCTAGATTTTAACCGGAATCCGGATTCAAATTCCGATTGAAAACATTTTGATTTATCAAAATATTGAATTATTTAAGATTCTCATTAACAATAAATGATTAATATTTTTTTAAAGATGCTTATTAGCAAAAACTATTAAATTACTCATCAACTGAATAAGTGACATTACTATTCCACTCCTGTTCACAATTTTAAGGCCAAAAGATTTCAATGCGCGGTTTGCAGAATCAAATATGTATACAAATTCACAAAGAAGTATTTAAGCACTTTGCTTTGATCGAATACAGAATTTCTCTTATTTAATTAGATTTATTCTCATTGGTCCAAATTCGTATCATAATTTTTTATATCAAAATTTACACTGTAAAAATGTACGAGCCATATATTTATGCTGAATGAGATATGATAATTTTGCCCTTTTTTACAGGAATAAATGTATACGTAATATCTTGTTCTGGAGTCATACTGGTCATAGTTGACGCACTTATAGCAGTATTCAAATCGCTTAATCAGGATCGACTGGGATATGACTAGGGATCATACGATTGGGTCATGGACGAGTTTACTGCATGCATGAATAGAAATGCAAATAGCAACAAGATTATATAAAACAAATTTCATGAAATTGTAAATTAAACTGCTAAAAATGAATGTATGAAAGATTTTGTATATTTATTGTATTTAGATATATCTAATAAAAATTACCAAACGGTATTTCTTTTTCATTTCGGAGAATAATAACGCACAACATTCAATAATTTATACAAGCTAAACTTTTTTCTTTATCATGTAACTATTATTTGTGTATGTGTGAGAGAGAGAGAGAGAGAGAGAGAGAGAGAGAGAGAGAGAGAGAGAGAATTATATCTTGATAATTATATCTTAATAAAATCTGTGTTATTTATGTTTTTGTATGATATTGACTTTTTCATGGTTTTAATTTTATATATATGTCATTTATATTTTATCAGATTTTTTTGTACATAATAGAATTGCAAATAATTTATTGCGAAAGAAAGATAAAAAATTTATTATATCTTTCATTTCGTTCAGATGACGAGATAAATGTGCGGATAAATTTATTTTTATGTAAAGTCACGTAATAATAGATTGCACACTCTGTTGGTAAAATATTTGGTGAGTTTTACAGCATAATATCTTACAAAAATGATACATACTATCCACGCTATCAACACAAGATAGATCACGTTAAAAGAACGTGAAACTTGATTGATTTGTGCAAAAAAACGATGAAAAGTACAAAAATGATCTTGAAATATAAAGAATTGCACAACAGGCGATACAACAGTAAACAATCAGCGATGCGTAAAAAAAAATTTATATATTATAAATTAACTTTATTTATAAACGAAAAATAACAGTCGCATGATTTCTCTCGAAAGTCGTTATCTACCGGATATCGTAAATTAAGAACAATTGACTTTAATATCTGTATTAAATGCATACGTGATTAATTATTTAACGTTGTGTTTGTTGTATCAACTTTATATAACTATCACCACCACGCCGCATGAGTCATCGGTTATCCACGATATTTTTATTCGTGTTTACTATATATGTATATATTTGATATGTAACATTTTATAATTAAAATTAAAACACTACAAAAATTATTATAAAGGTCTAATATACCAAAATATTGCATCATACATTATAATTATGTATCCACGCGCGTATATCAGAAATTATTTTATAATCACGTTTATTTCTATAGATATTTTATATAATATCAAATGATCTCAATAAAGCCAGCGTGGACCATCAGACCTGTGACCCATACAGTATGGTAGATATTAAACTATATTTTCTCACAATTAATTGACTATTGATTGATGATTAAGTCTACATATAATTAAATGCACGTTAAATTACAAACGATCAGAAAATGTTTCCATATAATAATTGCAGAATTTTTAATTTATGATAAGAAACGTAAAATACTTTTTAAGTCCCTTTAAGTACTTTTCTAAATATAAAAATGTAAAAATATAAATATTGTTACGATACGTGATATTCACAATTTTTCTTATAAACACTGCAATAACTTTTTATCTTGAAAATCTTATTAGAGTTACTTATTAATATCTAAAACTATTTAGGTAAGACTTAATCTTTTCAAGAATGTTTCGATACAAAATTTAAATTTTTTATATTTGAAGTATGTTTTTTATATTATTATAAAATTTATTCTATAAATGATTTAAAAAATAGACTATTCGCACAATCAGGGATTTCATATATCCTTAATTCTTTTGGCCTCGTCGAGCAATGCATTATGCACATTTCGCTATTTTTACTTTCACGAGTTAAATCTTTATTATTTGAATGATGAAGAAATGAATATAATAATAAGAAATTCTCTTTTCAATAAGAAATAGATCTATGGATTGTAAGTTAACGCTTACAATGACATTTGAGAAACTCGAATTCTTTTTTCTTTTGAAATTTGATTAAATCATTGAAAATTATATCTAATCTTTAGCGTTTATAGGATTTATATAGTTGAAGCGAATTCAAGATAGGATAATGGAAAGTAAGATTTAGAATCTGGTGTCATGTAGGATTTATAAGAAATTATTATTTACACGCATATGTGTTTGATCTTATAAATTATTATTAAATAATACCCAGTATATATATATTCAATTGCAAAAGAGATATAGATAGTAACAAAAAATCATAATAACAATTGTGCAACAGCCGGTCGGACTTGAGAAACGCTCGCACACGTTTTCACAGTACATGCGAAAGTAGCTCTTTATTAATTACATGTAAAAAAATGAAAAGAGGAGAATCGCTATGTATTTCCTCCTCTAAGCGAACCTCCTCCTTAGGATACCCTCCGCGCATAGGCGGACGCTAATTGGCTAAGGATCCTTGATTAGAATCTATGTATCCTACGACCTAAGGATCCTAAAAAAAACCTACTAAAGGATCGACAGACCGTAGGATCTAAAGATCGCATGAAATATGAATCCTGGGTTGTAGACTCGAAAATTTCATTAATTCATTGTTTCACGAATCCTATAAGATAGATCTTAGGATCTTGTACGAATCCTGAGAAATATGTATCTTAAATATGTCTTAGAATCTATGGGCTCGAGGATTGACAGATTCTGTGATTCACAAGAACTGTCTTACGAGTCCTAGGATGTAAGGATCCTGAGAAACATCGCACCCAAGATCTATAACTTTTAGGACGTACGGCTCCTAGAATCTAAAAAGAGTTTTAGAAATACGATGCCTAGGATTTGTGGACTTAAGATTCGATGGTTCCTAGAATGTACGAAATCCTATATATGAACTCTATAAATCTAAAAATTTAGAGCATGTACTTTAGGCTCTATATATGTAACTTTACATTTCGACGTTCTAAGTAATGAATATTAACAATTTCATATCTTAGAAGGGAGACTCCAATACAATGGCGAGTCTACATGTTTCCGGAGGCCTGGAACTAATATCTCCCATCTTAAAAAAATGTTATCGCAAATAAATAACAAACGCGTATTATTTAGTATTAACAAAACGAATATAAAACGCTTATGTTAAAAATTACGTAAAAAAAATATATATATGTATATATTCAAAATTACTGTCATATTCAATTTAAAAAAATATACATATTAACATAAATAAATTCAATTAATATCTTAATGTACAATTATTTAACAAAATAATTTTAAAGTAAAAAAAGAAAATGGGAATAATCATGTGTATCATATTATTATAGTTAAAAAACGCATTTTATGACATAGTCCTTAAAACTTTAAGTTTAGCAATAGTATCCACTGAACACGTGAATCCTAGAAGCCGTTAAACCCTAATATTTTCTAGCATGAATAGATCCTGGATGTATGGCTACGTCGACCAGCGGCGTGAGAAAAAATAGTGAAAGAAGAATGGAGGAAAATAAAAAAAGAAAATTGGAGACAGAAAGAGAGCGAGGAAAAGGGGGCGAAAGATAGAGAAAAGAGCGTCCTAGTGTACCAATTAACGCCTTAGTTGACTTTGAGCTTGTCGTTATAGCCGATGTGACCAGGTGCGCTATTGGCAAAGTGCTTTTTGTCGGTCTTCTTTCCAGCCAGGTACGTCTTATGGAAGAAACGCGCGAATAGGACAAAGTAGCTCAAGTACATCGCGAAGCTAAAATGGATATTCATGCGAGAGATGTTGCAGTCCACGTTGCCGCTCTCCAAGTATTGATAGGCAGATATGTTGATATAGCAACCGATCACCATCTGGGCAAGTTGAAGTGTGGTGATCACCATGGAGATTGCTTTAGGTGGTTTGTACCGCATCGCCTTCAGAGCATAGTAGCTGTACATGATCGAGTGGACGCAGTAGTTCATCACGACGTACCATCGCGCGGACGCGGTGTGCTCCGAATAGGAAAACCAGGAGTACAGTAAGACGGTAATGTGATGATACCAGTGCAGGAAGATCAGTGGCTGTTTGCGCAGCACGATAAAGATCGTGTCGCCAAGCTCGGGTAGCTTCGACAGTACGAACATCCACGTCCAGAAGCCCGACACGCAATCTTGTTCAATAAAACTGCAATCAAATTAATGACTTTTTTGTAGAACTTTTTCACACTTACAAGATTTATAGAAATTTTAAATCGCAATCATTGTGTTGCATAATTATTTGTCTAATGTCATTATTTGACATAAATTTGCATTAATTTTCTTTGAAACCAATATTGAAACTCTTTACGCAGTTCTAAGAAATTGAGATAAAAATGTTTAATATTACATTAATTTTTTTTGAAACCTAGGAATGGTTGCGTCCCGATCATTTTGCCGTTTTTTTTTTCGTTTTCCATTTATATTTTTCAAATTATTGGCACTATTATATTTTTATTTTTACGTAAATATTTGTTAATGTTTTTTCGTAAAATAAAATAAAATTAAAAATATACTATATAAATGAAATTATTTCCAGTCATTATATTATATTCCTTTGTTTCTTAATTAATTAATAAAAAAATATTATTAAAACGTTTCCTTATTAACTGTTACTTATTATTATAGTAATTATAATATACATAATATGTATCCTCTTCTCTAATATAGCATAAGAACATTTTAGAACAACATTTGTTAACATATGCTGGAAAAACAATGCCACAGAATTGGATATTTCAGCAGGTTAACGACCCAAAACACACATCTAAATTGTTAAAGAAGTGGTTTTCAGATGCAAATGTGAAAGTTTTAAGCTGGCCATCTCAATCAGCGGACTTGAACTCGATAGAACATTTATGGGAACAGCTAGATCGTCAAGTTCGGAAGCATACACATTCAAATAAGGCCGCTTTATTGAAATCGTTGAAAGAAGAACGGAATAAAATTTCGCCTGATTGCATTAATCGACTAATTGAGTCGATGCCACATCATTGTGCCGCTGTTATCGGTACAAAGGGTATGGCTACAAAGTATTAATATTGAAATATAATTTAAACTAACTGAAGTGCATTATAAATTGTTTGAACTAATAATTTTTCTCGTAGTACATAGTGGCCGGAAACTTTTGCACGTGTAAATATGACAATTATAATAATAAAAATGTTCATAAACATAAACAATATTCTTTCTTTACATTATTTCGTTACCAACACGTAATAATGATTAAAATTTTATCAGACTTTTTTCCTATAAATTAGAGTACAAAATGTCACTGGCCGGAAACTTTTGCACGCCACTGTATATGTGCGAAGATACATTTCAAAATGACTGACTGGATATGTTGTAGAAAAAATATTCGACCCATTTTTTATAGCGGCTTATCTTGAGGTTTAGGGGGTGAAACATCCCCTTGAAGAAAATGGATTTTTTCGTTTTCAGCAAATATCTTCGAAACTATGCCGCGTATAAAAAAATGGTTTATACAATAGTTTACAGTATTTTATGCTGTATATAATAGTGTATTCATTTTTAAAAAAAATCAAATTTTTCAATTAACCCTCACCTCCACTTATCAGGGTCGCAAAATTAAAAAAATTTTTAAGAACAAAAATTAAAGAGCATCGGATGCCGAATCCATTCATGTATAATAATGTTATGGTTCCACGATTCAATATTTCAGAAAACGAGATAATAACGTGCGTGGCGTTTGTATATAACACGACTATCATCTTGATTTCTGAAATATTGAATCGTGGAACCATAACATTATTATACATGAATGGATTCGGCATCCGGTGCTCTTTAATTTTTGTTCTTAAAAATTTTTTTAATTTTGCGACCCTGATAAGTGGAGGTGAGGGTTAATTGAAAAATTTGATTTTTTAAAAAAATGAATACACTATTATATACAGCATAAAATACTGTAAACTATTGTATAAACCATTTTTTTATACGCGGCATAGTTTCGAAGAATTTGCTGAAAACGAAAAAAACCATTTTCTTCAAGGGGGTGTTTCACTCTCTAAACCTCGAGATAAGCCGCTATAAAAAAATATGGGTCGAATATTTTTGATGCTCTACAACATATCCAAAGCGCATCAAAATCGGTGAGGGACAGTTCTGACCGTTCCCTTGTGAGATGCATTTACTAACATTAGTCAATTCACGCGGTCCCCGATTTAAAATGTTAATCTTAGCTTTTTAGAATTGAGTCAAAATTTTTAAATAATTTATTATGATATTAATACTGTTCTGTAATTGATTTACGACATCTTAAGACGGTTTTAAATATAATATCTAATCATGTATAAATATCAGCCATAATCAGAATTGCATTAGCATCTTAAAACATTATCTAAGACAATTTTGAAAAAAAAATCAATAATAAATGCCGATCAATGTCTACTTTCAATATCAACTTTTGACACTGTATTTGAAATGCAAAATTAATAATTACGAAAAGATTCGGGGATTTAATAAAACTTAATACAATGAAAAGAACCAACCTTGGTATGCAAATGCTGTGGAGCAATCCGTGATGCTTGAGAACATGTATTAATTCGGGCGCCGTTCTAGTAAAGCCGATGATAGAAAAAGAAGCCAATAGCGTATTCCAAAGACACAGTATTCCCCTGAGTTCGAATCTGGGCCTGCTGGCCATATAATGTTGCCCGCCGAATATTAGGATCATGTACAATCCGCAGTAGTAAAAACCGTTCGTCCAATTCTTCATCATCCATTGCTTGGTCTCGTGCTGACTGAACGTCTCCTCGAAATTGAAAATGTAAGAATAATTCGGGAGAGTTACTTCCATATAATCCACCTTGTTCATCTTTGCGTTTCAAGTAGATGTCTTGGCAATGATGGCTTGACAATTCTGTAACAGATACGGATAAACGATAAAATATCACTTTACCAAGTTGTTTATAAAATTACATCGTGAAATCTCAGTTAACGGGAAAAAATGTAAACACACTTTCGTATGTACCGAGGATCGCATTCAAGCAAAATAGCTTGGCTAATGGAGCTTAAAATTCCATAAATTATTACGTGTACCTATACAAATATTTATATTTTTAACTTTTGTGTTTAAGATATTACGAAATCTTGAAGGACGTCTCATTTGCAAAAGTTAAATTTGATATCAATCCTGTTTATTTATGTAAATTCAACTTAAGCTTTATGTAAATCTTAAGATCATGATATACAAAAAAACTTAACCAGTAAATCGTAGACAGTAAAAAAATCATATTTGATTGATTACTGTTTACACTACGGTTTAACGACTTTTACTGCGATTGGCTAATTCGCTTACTATACTACTTTACATTTCACTGTTTAAGTCTTTGATTTACCGTGACCTTTAAGCCGTAAGAAATTGACACAGCCACGATAGAATGTGAAAAATGTGAAAAAAATAATGGACCGATTGATCAATTTTTTACGATTACGGTGGCATACAAAAAATTTAAATAATAAGAATATCAACATAATGTTTGCTTATTGCTTTAGAGGTCTTTATTGTAATTGGTTCGCTTACTATTTACGTTCTACTGCTTAAGTTTTTTTGTGTGCCATGGCCAAACTTAATTACATAATGAATGACTTATTATAGAAAAACTCAAGAGGAGCAATTCGATCTTATATTTAAGATTATCTCTAGTTACATAATCTCGAAATCGTTATACATATATAATTACTTTATTGGCTGAATAAAATAAAAAGATCAGACTTAAAACGATCTCAAATATAAAATAGGACTAATGGATAATATTTACAGTTTGATCTTTTAAAATAGTTTTCAAATCTGATCTTACGAAGAAACATACGGAAGTGTTCCCTTCTAATTTTGGGCTTTTAATATTTATGTTGTTGTTTAAAAAAAAATGTGTTTCTTGTTTTGTGTGATCCAGAACAACAAAAGCTTATCAAAATCGGAAGAACTATGTTTCCTCGTTAGATGATCTTGAGAGTCCACCTAACCCAATGCTGGGAGGTGACAAGAATTCGTTTGCTTTAGGAAACTTTGTGCGCATGCATAAAATGACGTAGCAGCTCGATCCAATGATGGAACAGACGGAGCAATACGGAATACGGGTTCTTTTGGAGCTCCTATACATCTTAGTGACTAACCGTCCCAAATTAGGAGAGACAATCTCAAATTTGAACACTTTGTCTCGCTTTACAACGCGTTCCAAATTATAATATAAATTAAAATGTAATACAATTTATATTTGTACGTGTTATAGTTACATATAGATATGTTTTATTTTATGATATTGTATATTAACACGTTATTATATACATATATTTTATTTTTATTGTATTATATTATCATATTATTTATTGTATTAATTCAATATGTGCGTTGTAATTATATTTTTTATTAAGTATAATTTTTTTGTACGGTTCAATGAAATGACTGCGCAGCAAAATCTCGAGACCATACTGGAGATAAAATGTAAGACAATAATATGATTTTAAGTATGATAATATTATCTTAATGAAATCAATCATTTCACTGGTTAGGTCAGTGATGGGAGGTGACAAGAATTTGTCTCAGAATACTGGTTAGGTTTTTTGCAGTTTCCCTTATCCTTTGCAACAAATGTTGGTATTCATATGATAAATCGGCTGCAGACGTAATAAAAGACAAAATTTATTATTATTCATGAACACACTATGTTTCTTTAATAAAAACTTTCTTTTCTTCCTACAACTTTCTTAACATTATTAGGAGTCTTATAGTACCATAATATATGAAATATGTATACGCCAGTTAAGGTTGCTCAGCTTTACGCATGCGCACAAAGTTTCCTAGAGCAGACGAATTCTTGTCACCTCCCATCACTGACTTAACCAGTGAAATGATTGATTTCATTAAGATAATATTATCATACTTAAAATAATATTATTGTCTTGCATTTTATCTCCAGTATGATCCAGCAGATTTTGCTGCGCAGTCATTTCATTGAACTGGATTTTGAAATCAAATTTATGATAAATGCAAACAAAACAAATCGGACTATGGTCGGTACACAGTCCGCTATTAAATTTAGGTATATATGTATGAATCTCAAATAAGAGATTAAGCAAATTATCTTGAAATTTCGAAATGCTACACGATTGTCATTGGCTGGAAGGAATCTTACGACCAACATTCTTCAAAATAGTACTCAAATACAATTTTAAATACAAGACTGGAGGTATTCATGGGTGATATTCATCAGTCCAATTTTCTATTCAAGATTGATTTTATATCAATCGGATTATGGAGTCGTACGACTCCATCCAAACAATAAAACAATAATATAATACAATGTCTCGAGATCATACAATCTTGAATATAAAAAACGGACTGTAAAAGCAGTATTCATAGCCTGTTCTTATTTTAAGTTTTAACTTGGTTTTAACTAATGTCTTAAGATGGTATTATTGCTCTATTTGGTTCATAACACCTTAAATATAAGAAACCGGTTATGAATACTGACCTTTAAATTTCATTCAGCTAATAAAATGATTCGTACAGTGACCGCATTTATACGTCACTGTTAATCGTGTTTAGTAACATTTGTAGTTATTAACTATTGATAGTAAGTTTATACAAATATACTAAAAAAAAATTGGTAATAAATGTGAAATAATTTCAATTAAATGTCCAATTAATAAAACCAAAAATAATATTACTTATCTAAATATTTAGTATTATCACAAATAATAATATATAACAAGCAGAGTTTGAGACCATCTTGAAACTTGAGCATCCGGTAAAAAATTTGTCATACATGAATGTGTATAATTATGTATAACATACATAAACATGTATATTCATAAACATAAATATTCCTAAACATACATAATTTTATATGAAATATATCCATACATGCGAAAATTACCCCTTTAATTCAGGCCTGTCTAATTTGAGCTCCGGAGCCAAATCGCAAAGCCATTGATGCAAAAAAATGCAATGTGGATAAGATTTCGAGGACTATAAAGTGTTGATATCTGAGTGACGCTTATCAACACTTTATAGTTCCTAAAATCTTATTCACATTGAATTTTTTTGCGTCGATAGCTTTGCATTTTGGCTCCGGAGCTCAAATTGGACAGACCTGCATTAATTATTTTTGATGTTTTCACGTTACTATTATTATTTCTATTAGGTACACTAAAAAGTAATTTTACAAAAAAAAGAGACGTATGAACATGTTTCATATATAATTATACATGTTTATGAATATTTATACGTGTTATGTATGTTTATACATATTTATACAAAAACATTTATGAAAAATTTTTTATAACATCTATGGATTTCGCCTTAAAATTAATCTACATTAAACGGGCATAAATCTGATTAATACAGTGACATGTAAACGTAGTCAGTGCTTCGAAATTATATTTAAGACAATCTTAAATATAATGGCTGGTTTATGCGTCTCGGATTTTAATCCTAAGATTCTAAAATTCAGTCAATGGAGCTGCTAATCCTAATCGAAATCTGTATTTTATTGGCTGAATTTTATGGGCCTTCTACAATAAGCCATTAGTCATAAATCAGAAGTCAGAAGCTAAAAATTGACGACTGTGATTGATCAATTTCCAGCTTCTATAACTTCTGATTTATGACTAATGGCTTATGAATGCCTGTTAAGGTTTTTAGGATTAAGACCGAGGCATAAGATCTGATTATGGCTGCGGTCCATTTGACGCTACAAACACTTCGAAGTATTCTTTGATTAGTCAATTCGTAAAATTCTTTGTTCTGATTGGTCGCTCAAACGCTTCGAAGCGTTTGTAGCATCGAGAGGACCGCAGCCTATTAGCGAATTCGATTGAAAGCACTCACTGGAACATATTAAAGCCGTTGTACACTGATTTAATTTGAGTATAAAAATGAAATGCAAATATTTCGAATTATGAAATACATATTTTACCTAACAGTACAATAAAATGTATTGAGTATTTCACGATTTAATCGATTTCTATATCTATTTATAAACATATCTTTACATTATTTTGTGTACGACGGCTTTAATGTGCACCAGTGCGCACTGAGTGCGTCCAATCGAATTTACTATATATGTATACCACCCCTAAGTTCGTACCACTAGAAAAAAGCGCGACTTGCGATCTCGTAACGTTCGGGTCGCGCAGCCGCGCCGCGCACGCGTGAGACGAGCGCGCCAATCCGAGTTCGACTCTCGATCTCACGCGATGCTGGAATCGATGCGAAAGAGATCAAGAATTTCTTCGCATGTGTTTTACTATGTCACGACAAGTTCGAAAAGTTCTGGTTTTGTGGAATGCGCTAGATTTCGCATAATCATTCGTTACGTATGATTCATCTTGTTTTCATATGATTTTATATCACGGAAGAACGAAATTGCTGCGCGGTACTGAAAAAGCATCGAATTATTGACGCAAATTGTACCGGCAATTTCGCTGAAATTATGTTGGAAATGAGGCTAATTCAAGTCACGCAAAATAAATTTACGTAAAAAATAATTAATACAAAAGTTGTTCTGAGATCATAACTACTACCGGTTTTTTTTTTTCAATTACAATAGAAGGATCAAAGTTAATCGTCAAACTAGGAATGAATGATAAAAATGAGATTAAAGTTCTTGCATTAAAAATTAATTTTCATTTAAAATTAATTTCCTGTTTCACAAATACAACATAAAAAGTGACTTTTAATTGGCATTGAGGCAGCGTTCCTTAAAAGAATTGGAATAGATACAATGACACATTATCTATGCACTAACGATATTTATTTTAATGATTAAGATTAGAATGGCAAGCGTGTTTAACAAGCGTTTCCTCGAAAAGAACAAATTGGCAATGAAACTATAAATGGCATTATCTATCGTAGCAAAATATTTATTCAACGATTTAATGTTAAATGTGCCTAAGCATCGACTGATTTTCTAAATTCTAACTAAACGTACATGATAAATAAATAATATTTTTAGCAAATATTACGTTACTCCTCTCAACCGATTTTCCAACTCCAATGTCGAAACTGCAACGCTCCGCTCGAAAGACGATCCTACCTTCTAAGATCCGATATTTATAGTCGGTTCTTACTTCAAGAGCTTTAAGTCAATAGGGAGTTTTTGCAATACCGTTTATCCAGTTACGGTGAACGCTAAGGTGTCACGTTATATTTTTCTTAACGACTAATTAAGAAAAGGATAATGTGACTTTAGCGTTCATCGTATCTGGAATCCACGTTATTGCAAAAACTTCCTATTATCTGAAGATGCTAATGCCAGCTCCGTGATTGCTTCGTACAATCTTAAAACCGTACTTCAAACGGTCTTAAATATAATAATAGAAATACCGGCTTGAGATCAGCCCGGTGTAAAGTGTGCAACGCAAATATTAATGAATTGATAAATAAACGAGAAGCGTTTATTCACACGGGAATGACGGTTCTGTTAAAGCACACGTGAAATCGCGAGGATACGCCTCGTGAAACCGACTCTCGCTTGCAAAATGCGAGGAGACACGCGCGAGGAACGCTCGGCGAGGAGGAGTCTCGTACCGTCTGTTCGAGTCCTAAATACATACAGGCGCGACAAGATATGTCGCGAGGTATTATCGCGCGGCCTTCCATATCCAGGTCGTGTCGTCTCGAGTGCGTTTTCTGAATGATTTCCGATCCACGCACACGCGCGCGCGCGGATGCCTTGCACGAAGAGAGGTGCCAAATTCGTTTCATTCAACCCACACACGTACCCTGTATGGGCGCCGTACCTGCAGACGGTGCGCGCGCGCATACACACACACACGCACATACACATGCAGGCAAAGTAGGCATACGTACCTAGACTGGCGTTACACCTTTCGCCAATTTTCCAAAGTCGTCTGGAGCGAGGAAACGTTCGAGGTGCCTCCTCGTCGTCGTCGTCGTCGTCGTCGTCGTCGTCGTCGTTGTCGTCGTCGACGTCGTCTTCGGGCCTCGGACCTTCGGGTCCTCGAAGCTCGGAGCTGTCAAAAAAAGGGAATCTTGGTCGCGGCGCGAGCCGGCGTATTCGACGTGGGCAAGGCCACTTCCTATTGGAGCAAGAGCCACCGGGCGTCCGGTAGCACCGGCGCCTTTGTGATACACAAGTGAAATCGATAGATAAAAAACAAATGCGAAAGAGAGAGATAGTACTTTCGTCGTCCTGCTGTCGCCGACGTTCCTTCGTATCTGACTCACGATCTCCTTTTCTCTCTCTCTCTCTCTTGATCTCTCTCAGGACGATCGCTTCCTCGTTTCTTCCGAGACACACGAGCGAGATCTGCCGCTCTGTATCTTTCTTCCCTTACGTATAAATATATATGTGCGTGCAAATAAATATGTGTGTGTCTAAGACGCGCCGATGTCCCGGTACTCGTACTCGATCATACTCGCACACACCACGAAGCAAGCCGCGCTATGCCGCGCGAAACTGCCCGCCCGTTGTCTTGTACCGTTTTTACACAGTATCACCGTACGCATCTTCCCCCGCTCGCCTCTCGACATCCACGCCCGATCGCGCCAAGCGGCGACATCTGTCGATCGATCGGTGAAAGCGCCGCAAACCGTATAGTGCCGAATTCCGCCGCGTCGGTAAAACAGAGACCGCGCGGATCGACATTGGCATCGCGATTGAATTATGCATTATTGCAATGGTTGTGGAGCGTCGACCGTCGAGCTTGCATTTATGTTATTGAACCCGCGTGAAGAGCCAACATGACAGGCAAGCAGAATCAGCTGGACGACAGCGAAGACAATCAGTCGCGAATAAAACTGATCGCGGACAAACGCAGACTCTTGGAGGAGAAATCCGCTCAGGTATGATTATTCACCTGCACCTCCCTACGTTTATGCAAATCTACTGGATCTCGTAGCGTATTTTTCGCTGCACCACAGCTTGTATGTTTTCTGTCTTTTGTTTACTACTTTACAAAAAAAGTGATAAACGGTATAATTTTATGACAAGAGCTGTCACTGTACGTGGCATTTAAAGCAGAACAAGTAATGTACATTTTTTAATTGAAATCTCTGTACTTGAGAGACAAGATGGGAGCATCCATGGAAATCGTTCTTCCTTCCCCTTGAGGGATTTCCGACCCACTATGGAAATCCTTAACTATCCCGTCTGCAATTATATTTTTACTCCCTTCATCTACAATCTGAGTTTTTTTCAAGTTCAAATTTTTTACTGTTTTACTTTCAAAAAAAAAAATTCAGTTTTTTCAACATCTCTATTATTAGTTTTTTAACTCAAATGTTAAAATCTTTATTTAATAAAAATTGAAATTTTAGTAAAAATGAGGGTGTTTGGGAGTGAAATTTCATTTATACGAAAAAAATTCAAATTGCAGACATGTGTTAAAGATGGATTTGAATTAATTTTTATACACAAAAGTAAATTTAATATATGCAACATACAGTTCATAAAATCATTATTTGTAAATGGTAATAAAAGACGCTGTGAAAGAATATAAAATAAATTTTTATTAATAGTTAATATAATACATAGAATGTTTCAAAATAGAATATCAATAATATCTTAAATTAATCGTTGTAAACTATTTTTTATTTTTATATATAATCATAAAATTACGAAAGAAAAATACAATTTGCAGGTTGAGGCAGAAATCAGAAGCTGTTTTGAAGGTCTAACGAAACTTCTGCGATCTAGAGAAAAGCAACTACTCCGTCAAGCTGAAGCCATTCACAAGCAGCAACTTTCGCTAATAGAGACATCATTAAATTTCTTACCATCGTCAGTAGTGGTCCTGAATGATAAGAACGAATTAGAAGAACGGATACGCCAGTTTGGTAATATCGAGACGCATGGATCAAATAGTATTACAGTAAAGGATGTGGAGCCATTTAAAGTTGCAGATTATCAAGATGCTAATAAGGATCATGTCAGTTTTGACAAATCGATCACCAAATCAGACCAAAAAGTCAGAGATCACCTGAGCCTTCCACGTTGCAAGGATTTTATATCTGACTACAGAACTGTGCGTATTTCAAGTCTACCTTCCACACTCCTCACTGATATTGAGCTGCGAGACGCGCATAACGTAAAGGCTAATACGTTGAAGATTTTTAAAGACACTTTATCCATATCAAGGTGTTCGCCGCTTTTGATTATAAAACGCAAACTTGGCCTGACACACGTATCCTTGGACGGACTGCACGCCTTTGACAAGGCATATTCACAGAATATACAGTCCCTCGGGATGTCTTATACTACAGAATCTTCTGAGCTAGATAAATTAACGAACGGAGCGACTGAAACTAATTTACGAGAATTTGATAAAGAAGTGTTAGATCAAGATGATGCCGAAATCATTAGACCTTCAAAGAAACGAGAGAAAAACGATGAGCATCCTGTACAGATACAGCAATGGTTGCAGCAGATACTCGCAGAGACTGAGATAGAGCCTGCGATTTACGAAATCGGGCAGTTTTCAGAGATATCCAAGGCAAAGCTTTGTAACGAGCTATAATTCTATTTGACGATCAAACATTCTTGCATTGTGTTTCAATTGGGGCCAAAGTTTCCAAAAACTGGAAAACAAACTGAAAAGGCTGATCTACCTTAGAAGTGCATGCCCGATATTCTTAATTTATAGTCTCTCGTAAAATAAATTGAAGACAGTGTAGTTTTTCCATAATCACAAAGAAACATAAGAAAGGATACCAAATTTAAATGACGAAGAGAGAAAGAGGGAGAGCGAGAGAGAGAGGGAGAGAGAGAGAGAGTAAAAGATTTATTGTGTACATCGATAAACTTTAGTACCTCTGCCACAATTGTTTAACATGTGGTATTCCTTGTTAATACAACGAATACTTCGCCGTTCTTAAAACAAAGATTGATTAGTGCCCTTTTGAAAAATGTGCTTAAAAATCCGAAATATATAATTGTAAGACTGTTTTTATTCTACTAAAAATATCGCGTATTTATTTTACCGTGTATAAGTTTTTAGTCTATATAGAAACTATGCTTGTCAAGAAATTTTGACAGCAAGTGAATAATCTTATTGCGATAATTTCTTCAAGTGATATCTTTTTTACAAATAAAAACTCACGATTGTACGACATTGTTGTAAATAATTAATTTATCGTCGTATCATAATTCCAACATTTTTTCTCCACTTACATGACTAAATTGTGCGTATGCATGTAGTTGTAGATTCTGCAATCAATTCATTAAATGCTCAGTATTTTGAAAATATTATTAAAATCCTCCTTCCCCTCCATCAACTATCACAATCTAAGATTACTGTTATTGCATTTTATTATTGCCTAATACTGTTAAACAAATATTATGTCGAAATGTGCTTTTTAATATTATGAGAAATTAATATCCTAAATAAATTTTTTTTAAGTTGTATTAGGAATTAGAAGAATTTCTATAATTAATGGTTAGAAATATTTATCATTTTAATTAATTTACATTTGTATGCTCACGCACGCATAATTTCTTGTTAGAGCACATAATTTTTATTTCTTTAATCCTAAACTGTATAAATCTGACATGTGCTTTATAAATATTAAAATAGTAAGAAAATTATAAAATTATCAAAATCCATAGATAAAAATTTGTTTCTAAATATTAATCTTTTTATTATGTTGTATCAATATATAATATATTTATGAAATCGACGAAAATTTTATTCTAACGATACAAATTTATTATACCGATACTATATTAAGATGATCTGTATTAAGATGTTTTATACTGTTTAGGATTAATTGAATGCATATATATTTATTTATCTTGTCAATTGTTCAAATCAGAGGAAAACGCTTGTTAGAAAAATAATTTATCCCGATATAATTTTATCGTTCTTACATCGAGCCTGTATAAAATACAGAATATATTCATACATATGTATATATGTGCGATATATATTCCATGATATATACATCGACATATATGTATCAATGTTACAAGTATGTATCAATAATACAAGTTTTTGCGGACAAACCAACCGACTGCGATAAAATTATTTAACAAAAATGCAAAGAAAGAAAAACTTAAAAATAATATGCATCTATCATTGCTGATAATCCTTTTACTATAAACAAAAATACAAAAAAAAATCAATTAAACGTAAAACAATTAAAATTTTTTATATTTAATAATTATATATGTTAATAAAATATTAACAACAAAAATTGTATCGATAGTGATAGATATAAAACAAGAATAAACTTTGAAGCACTATTTTTGCACTGTTTTACGCTTTCATATAGAAAAAAATCAGCATTAGTATTCGAATACTTCGATAAGATTTGTTGAGTAAGATAATTTCGTGACATTGAGGCAGCGATGGAAGAAATTATATATATATATAAAGTTATTATTAAATATTTTAAAATGCTGTTAAATTGCAATAGTATGGATACTATTTTTTCTAAACTGTAAAAAATTTATTTCTGTTTTCAAGAAAATTAGATAAAAGTTTAGGCGAATTATTAAATTTTTTAAAATGCTGTTAAATTGCAATAGTATGGATACTATTTTTTCTAAACTGTAAAAAATTTATTTCTGTTTTCAAGAAAATTAGATAAAAGTTTAGGCGAAAGACAAAATATGATATTCTCGAAAAATCGTTAAATTTATTAGGAAAATATATTTCGACGAAAAGTAAAATTTAGCTCGAATTAAATCTACTTAGAACTTTATATGCTCTAAAAAAATGATAAAAGAATCAAATTGATGAGAGATTTATATAGATAAGGTATCTTATCTTATATATTATAAAAAGATATATATTTTTCTTTTCTCTGTTACCACCTATTATGTTTCTGGATTCATCTTCCAACGTTGTCATTACGATAAAGAAAATTCTTGAAAAAATTTCGAGATAAAACAATTATATCAATAATTAACATGTTACAAAATGAATT